GATGCAGACAAACCACTGGGAGTGAGCTGGTTTGAACTGGAGCCCCATTCATGGGGAGGTGAGGCAGGACAAGTGGGGTGCCCATAGAGCATGAGTTGGCATTGAGGGCTGGAAGAGAAGCCTTGAAGGATCCATGAAAATGCTATGCCTAGGATCCTATATAATAAAAAGGTAATATGCAAATCAAACGAATGGTGGAACAACCGGTTGCTATGACGCACACTGACCACCAGAAGGCAGACGCTCAGTGCAGGAGCTGCCCCCTGGTGGTCAGTGCTGTGCTCCCACAGGGGGAGCTCCGCTCAGCCACAAGCCAGGCTGACGGCTGCAGTGGCAGGAGCCTCTCCCATGTTCACAGCAGCGCTAAGGATCGTCAGTCAGACATCCCCTGAGGGCTCCCAGACTGCTAAAGGACGCAGGCTGGGCTGAGGGACGCCCCCCCCCCCCCCCCGAGTGCACAAATGTCGTGCACCCGGCCTCTTAAAATAAGGGCAAGCACAGTTTGTGTTCTTTCATTTACTGTAGTTTCAGTGCGTTGGGGGCAGTGGGTTTTAAAGCAATTGCTTAGACAAAGCTAATCTACTTGTTGTCAAAAATGAAAATAACCATTGGGACAAAAGGCAAGTGACATCTGACATTCATGAAACCAGGCATGTGTTAAAACATGGTCTTGTCTTTGGGTTTTCATTTCCACTGAAATAAGTGGAAACTGCCCCTGAGTAAGACTTATTTTTGCTTCTGCCTAAAATTCACTTTGTGTATCCTCCTGAGTTTTAGTTTCTTCACTGGTAACTTGGGGATAAATATATATGTTCTTCCCCCCTCTCTCTTTTCCTCCTTTTTTTCCCTAAAATCTCTACTATCCAGGAGCCAAATAAGAATAGTCTGTCATAAAGCAAAAGGCAGGAAGGCAAAGCTCAGAGAGACATAAGTCAATACCCATTTCCAAACATGACTCGCTATCCAGGCAGAGAGGAGACAGAGCTGCTTAAAACTGTTAGTCTGTGATGCATTTTCATCACTCTAGCCTTTACAGACTTTTAGGGAACCAGCTCTCAGATTTCAGAATCCACAGGGTAGGCACACTCCATGTATTGCCCTCCCCTGTCTCTCTGTTTTTGGAGGGGAAGCTTGAATCTAGAGGCAAGAACTGAGACAATTGGACAACACAGAGTGGGTAGGTGCATCCTTTTGGAAAACTGAGGCTACATATAACTAGAACTTGACTTTAGAGCTTCAGAGAAAAGGGCACATGGTTCTACTATTCAGCAATATTCACTTCTAGATAGGGACTGTGATCCTATGTCCTTTGAAGTTAGGCATTGAGTAGAGGGGATTAGAGGGGGCCGATGACATCTGAGCAGGAGTGTCATGTATTACTTATAATCCCAATGACTGGTGTGGGACCCTCCTGCTCGCGCTCTCTCTCTGTCGTGCCAACCAAGGGGCCATGTGTTTTAGATGCAGTCGGGGGGGCGGGGGGAGCAGAGACTCTGCAAGGCTGAATGCAGGGGCACCACAGGAGGGACAGTTGCCCTGGAGAGTGTCTTGCATTGTAGAGGATTTTGTGTGAACAATAAGTCAGCTTTTGTGGTATTGGGTGGGGGAGCACAGCAGCTTAGCAGCCTACACTGAACAGTACAGGGCATGTGGAGAGCGAACTTATGTTCTTCTTTTGGTGGCTCCCCTTACACGCTGCCCACTTCTAAGCCGCCAAACCACCGCAGAGTGTCCCACTTCTCTTGTGTTTTTCCTCTATCCCAAGCCCAGAGTAGCAGCTGTGTGGAGGGTTGCAGCTGTTGGAAACGAAGGGGGGAAATGTCTACTCCCCTTCCCTTCAGAATTAGTCTTGTCACATAAATGGTTTACATACTGGTGGTCTCCACAGATGCCAAGCATGTGTTCTCAGGTGCTTCCCCTGTTCCACGTGCAGCCCCATCCCAAGGCACAGACAGGAGCCACGGACCCCCCACAGAGCCAGGAGGCATTGTAACACTTCAGGGAGCCCTGGGTTCTCTTCGGAAACCAGCAGACCTGATGTGCGCCACCCACACACCCAGCTGTTGCAGAACTGATGCAGCCACAAGCAAAGAGAATCTGCAGAGCTATTTCCTGGCAAGAGATGATGAATGTGGTTTGGTCTTTTTTCTTTTCCCAGAGTATGAAAATAGTATATCTCAAATGACTTAGAAAGGGATAGTGTGCCTGAAAGGTAGTTTGTTATTCCTGTGGATTTGCTTACCATATCTTTCCCTCAACTATATTCTATTCCTGAGGTTTTTAGAATTTGTATCACAATATCGATATGGACATCATTTTAGCTTAAATGAGTGTAATCATAGATTAATGTAAGTTTCCATAGCATTTATTTTAAAACTGATATCATATTTAAATACATGTAAAATTTAATACTTAAAATTTATAAACTGATTAAAAGATGGTAGCATTAAAAAATATGTTCAAACCTAAAAATGGAGCTTTTAAGATATATTACCAAAGCATATCTTCCCAGGAAAGTTCTAGTCCTTTATTACTTTTCTTTGTGTCTTTACCTACACTGCAGGGTTATTGATTAGGTGGTGTTGGAGTAAACCAATATATCTAAGCCATTGGCTGTTAAGGAGTATTGCTGCTCATTAAATTAGTTAAAAATATGGACAGAACTTACTGACAATTATCTTCAATTTTATATTCATATGAATCCAAAAGATGAAAAAATATTTGCCAGGTTTGTTTTATATGCACTTATTCCATTTAATAAATTTACAAAGTTTTTGTTCCCTTTCACTAACTAAATTGCATTTCTTTAATTCTGGTACAAATTCTAGCTCCACATTTCTGACCCAGGGGTAAAATAATCTAACTGGAAATGAAAGGACAATGATCATTCTGAACTTTAATATAATTAATTACACTTTCTATTAGGACTGATGGCCCAATATTGATAGGTGATAAGCACAATCACCGTGGTAGGGTTTGGATGAATCCTCACTTATGTTGAATTGGAACACATAAATGCACATCTCTGTGTCCAGTTCTCATTTACTCAAATTTCATCTTTGGAAACGACATCCTGACTCATTAGGGCAAATTTCAGATGATAATTATAATATAGACATTAAATTAAAACACAGATTTGGGCTAAGTTCTACTCTTCACTGTGCTCAGACAGCCTTCATGACTTTGATAGGAAAACTTGCCTGCACATATGTGGATAAGATTTGGCCTGGGGTGGCTGAATCTGAGTGGTAGTCATGTACTGAACTGGAAATTGCTTAGTCCATTAATGAATTCTCAAATTCTTCACTGCAGGCATCTTTTTGGCTGGGCTACCAGTTGAGACTAATAAAGCACAAAGGGACTCTGAAATCTGTGACATGAAGTACCCAACTCTTTAGGCTGGATGAGAATCAAGGTGCATAAGTGAGTATGTCTCAACCTCTGTCTATCTTAGAGAGTCTGCAAAGGTTAGTACTTGTCTGAAGTCTCTAAAAGAAGAATTGTGTAGCTTGACTCAACAGGAAGAATTGGTCTTGAAAGTGTGACCTTAGGAGGCAATGGTTAAGAGAGGGAAATCAGAAGTTTCTCATTAATGTAGCATTCCTGTCCCTCCTCTTACATCCCTTTACACAGATGGCTAGCTATGAAATCGTTTCTTCCACTTGTTTGTTTTCAGTGTCATAGACTGAAATATATATTGAAAAGTTTATTAGCAATAAGCTATAAATCTTTGAATGTTTAAATAATAGTCTTAATAAAAATTAATTTTTAAAAGAATATTTCTTTTTATTATTTTTCAATAACAGTTTACATTCAAAATTAATTTGTATTAGTTTCAAGTGTACGGCGTAGTGGTTAGACTATCAAATACTTTACAAAATAGTCCAACCAATATCTCAAGTACCCACCTGGCACTGTACATGGTAATTATAATACTAGAGGCCCAGTACACGAAATTCGTGCACGGAGGGGTGGGGAGGGTGTCCCTCAGCCCAGCCTGCACCCTCTCCAATCTGGGACCCCTCAGGGGATGTCTAAGTGCCAGTTAAGGCACGATCCCTGTGGACATCCATCTCACAAACCGGGACTTCTGGCTCCTAACTGCTTGCCTGCCTGTCTGCCTGATTGCCCCAAACCGCTTCTGCCTGTCAGCCTGATCACACCCTAACCACTCCCCTGCCAGCCTGATTGATGACTAACTGCTCCCTTGCTGGCCTGATCACCCCCAACTGCCCTCCCCTGCCGGCCCGATTGCCCCCAACTGCCTTCTCCTGCAGGCCTGGTCTCTCCCAACTGCCCTCCCCTGCCAGCCATCTTGTGACAATATGGGGGCAGTCATCTTGTGATGATGTGGGGGTGGCCATCTTGTGATGATGCGGGGATGCCATCTTGTGGTGGCCATCTTGTGATGACATGGGGGCAGCCATCTTGTGATGACGCTAAAGCATGAGGGTCAATTTGCATATTACCTCTTTTTTAATATAGGATTGTTGACTATATTCCCTATTTTGTATTTTTTATCTCGGTGACTATTTTGTTACTACCAATTTCTATTTCTTAATCCCTTTACCTTTTTCACTTACCCCCGCCCCCATCCTCCACTCCACACCCCCAGCCTCTGGCAACTATCATTCTAATCTATATTGATGAATCTGTATCTATTTTTTATTTATTTTGTTCTTAAGATTCCACATATAAGTGAAATTATATGGTATTTGTCTTTCTCTGTCTGACTTATTTCACTTAGTACAATACCTTCTAGGTCCATCTATGCCAGCCGTGGGCAAACTACGGCCCGCGGGCCGGATCCGGCCCGTTTGAAATGAATAAAACTAAAAAAAAAAAAGACCGTACCCTTTTATGTAATGATGTTTACTTTGAATTTATATTAGTTCACACAAACACTCCATCCATGCTTTTGTTCCGGCCCTCCGGTCCAGTTTAAGAACCCATTGTGGCCCTCGAGTCAAAAAGTTTGCCCACCCCTGATCTATGCTGTCAAAAGTATGGAACACTTCATAAATTTGCATGTCATTCTTGTGTAGGGGCCATGCTAATCTTCTCTGTATTGTTCCAATTTTAGTATATGTGGTGCCAAAGCTAGCACATTAAGGAAAATTCTTTTTTTTTCTTAAATATATTTTATTGATTTTTTAAAGAGAGGAAGGGAGAGGGATAGAGAGTTAGAAACATCGATGAGAGAGAAACATCGATCAGCTGCCTCCTGCACACCCCCTACTGGGGATGTGCCCGCAACCAAGGTACATGCCCTTGACTGGAATCGAACCTGGGACCCTTCAATCCGCAGGCAGATGCTCTATCCACTGAGCCAAACTGGTCAGGGCAGGAAAATTCTTAATTAAGATCAGTCCTTACTAAAATTTTATAGATTCAAAAAGACTTCCTTGATTTTTTCCATTGGGCATTACTACTGAATTGGAATAATATTTAAAGTAAGCATATCAGTTAAGATAGGCCTAAGCTATTCTTGGTAACAAACAGCTTCAAAATTTTGGAGGTTTAAATCATTTGCTTTAGTTATATGTCCATTGCAGGTTGGTTTCTGTGGGGAATGGCTAGGGAGATGGTCATCGTCTCATGCCAGGAAACAGTATAGGAAAGGCTGTATGTCCATGCGGCCATATTGTCAAGACAAGAAAGAGAAAAGGGGGGTGGGGAGGACACAAAGGAACAAAGCAGATCATACACTGATTTTTATAGCTGTCTCTCAGAAGTGACACACATCACATCTGTTCACATTTCATTGACCAGAGTATTTAAACGGCCACACCTAAAGGAGAACTAAAAATATTTGGTGAACAACATTAATGACTGCACTTTTTGATTGTTGTCTCCCACGCTGGACTTTTTATTCATGCTAGTCCACCTAAGTGCAGTAAATACTGAAGTGTATTTTAATTAGTTGTCTCACAGAGACATCTAGATTTTGACCTATACCACTGAAAAGTTTGCCCTTTGTAGGCCTGAAAATGAGCTTAGCTTTACCATCAAAGTTTAAAGAAGCAAATGATTAGCCAGCATTCAGAGTATCTCTCTTTTGGGACATAATAAGAAGGGGCCAGGTAATAAGCAAGCACAAGAAGACAGCTCTGGTATAGAAAGAAAAAAAAAAAGACAGACTTTGAAGTCAAAAGACCAGTTGTTGTTTTTTTTTTAGTTAAATCAATAATATGGAGATTGTTAAATCTCAGAGGGAAGGCAGGGGAGAGTGGGTGGGAAGAGATCAACCAAAGAACTTGTATGCATATATGCATATCCCATAGACACAGACAAGAGGGTGGGGGTGGGGTAGAAGGGGTCAATGGAGAAAAAAGGGGGACATATGTAATACTTTCAACAATAAAGATTTAAAAAAATAATATGGAATTGGAAATATCTACAAGAAATAAGTTAAAAGAATAAAATAAGAAAGTTTCAGAATAATACATATGGAATGATAAAGTTCATTTAAGATGAAATATACTTGTAAAAGTAAACTCTCTCCATATTGAATTACATGTGTACTTACATTTATAGAAAATACTAGTGACCCAGTGTCCAGATTCGTGCACATTGAAAGGAAATTAATTAGAAGGTGGCCGGCAGGGCAGGACTGGGCAAGACGGGCCGGACATGCCCTGGAGCCAACCTCCCGTGGTTCCTCCCCAGTGTCTGCAGAGTGAGCGGAGTCCCTTCAGCAGTGGGGTCCCTAGGCCTGGCCTGTGGGGATTGGGCTGAAACTGGCTCTCCGACATCCCCTGAGCGGGTCCTGGAGTGTGAGAGGGCACTCTGCAAAGTTGCTGTCATATAGGGTGTGGAATGAAAATGCAAGTGTGCAGTTATCCAGATTCAGGCCCACAGTGCCCCAACAACAACTTAACCCATAGCTGAAGGTGGAATCGTGCAGCCCTGTGAGGAATCGGGCTCCCTCCTCTCTGGTTTTGGGGTGCGCCAACGAGAACCACCGCTGCCAAGTCACTGCAGCTTGGCAGCTCCTATGTTGAGCCTCTGCCCCCTGGTGGTTAGCGCACATCATAGTGACTGGTCAGACGGTAGAAGGAACACTTAGCATATTAGCCTTTTATATATATAGATAGAAAAATGTCTGTGAGAGTAGTAGTCACTTATGCAGACAGATTTTAATTTTTAGCTGGTTATTTTTTCATGCAATTTACTAGTATAAACACATTTTTTATTTTTTAAATTGATCTTTATTATTTAAAGTATTACAGATGTCCCCCTGTTTCCCTCCTTTGGTCCCCCTCCTCACCACTTCTGTTCCCTCCCAGGCCTTCACCCGACTATGTCTGTGTGCATGGTTTTTCAAAGTTCTTTGGTTGATCTCAGAAGAGCAGTTTTAAGCTCTAACTGGCTTTGCTGGCTAAGTAATCATGTATCCATTGTTTATGCTATGGGAGCATTAGTTTCTCTACCTGGAAGGTAAATAATCAGATGGGTAGTACATGTAGAATACTTTCTGACTCATACACACTATGTAACTATCATAGAATGGAAGAATATACTATTCTGAGCCATGGGCATGTCTGAGCTGTGTCCAGATTTTAATGAATCCCTAACTCTATCTCAGAAAATAGAATTGGCATTTGGTATGCCACCAACCCATATCATTTTTATATGTTAGTAACTCTATAAAACATAACTAATAAAGGTAATACAGAATTATTTTACACCATGATATCCAAAGCTTGTATCAGTTGCCAGCACAGAACAGAGAAACCAGGAGAGTAATAAGTAAAGTAACAGAACAGAAAACAAATTCTGAACAGGAAATGAACAAAACACAAAATGAAGTGTCATTGGAGGAAGGCAAAGTAAAATATAGTGAGACCAAAATGTAAGTTGCTAGGTCTGTATATCTGATGTCATTACATTATAAACCTATGTATTATGTGCAAGCTCCCTTCTTTATTATATCACTACAGTTTGAATATTTAGGACTCTTTGCTCATACTGTAGACATACTAATTGAAAATTTAAGTTCTGGAATTTTTTGTCATATTAAAAGCTTAAAGTGTTTCTTTTCTTCTTTCCCTCTCTCTTTGTTTCTGTTACTTTTATTAATTATACCTGCCATGTTTCAGGCAGAATACTGGATTAGGGATACCAATGTGTTTAGATTATTTTCCCTGCCAGAGAAGGATGCAAAAGCAAGAGATAGTAATGAGGTGAAGCTGAAATACACGTAGGTTAGAATGCTATAAGAGCAAGAAAAAGAAATTATCTAACTATGTTTAGGGAGGTCAGGGAAGGATTCACAGAAAATGTGACATTTGAATTGGGTTCACTGTCTAAGAAGAAAGGTAGGTAGAAGAAACAACATTCTACATTTGAATGCCAATTAATTTACAGTTTCTGAAATACAGGTGAAGAGATAAAATTACAAAGATAGGCAAAGACTATGATGGTCTTTGTAGACCACGGCCAAGGAGTTTATAGTGCACCCTTAGTGGACTTTGGATAGGTTGATAAAAAAAGGACTAACATTTTTATTTATGGAATGTCCACATTATTACATTATAAATGTAAAAAATACTGCTTTTTCTCAAGTTTATGAATTTGTGAATTACTATATTAATCCATGTATTGGTATCTAAAACTAACTCCTTAGTTTGGCTCATCTATGCGATCAAGGTTAGCTTCATAATGTAGCAAATCTCCTGCCCTGATCTTCAAGTCATTTCATAAAAGTCCCAGTCCCTAGTTCACATCAGGGAACCTAGCGCACATACTCAGTAGTTTAACTACAAAGCACTTGAGCGTGATTCATTTCTTGGAGTTGTGCTTGACTTTCGTGTAATTGTTACAAACACACAGACACAGGGAACGTCCTCGAGATTTTTCCATTGTGTAACCCAGTGCTGAAAGCTTTCAAAATGAGCAGAGTTGGCATGCAGTTTCTTTCACTTTCCTATGCCATCTTGGTGTTGCCAACAAACCTAAGTGCTGAACAAGCTAAATTTTGATAGTCAAAGAGCCAAAGGTTCTATGGTCTTAACTTTTCAGTGTGAGTTCAATTTGTTGCATGTTATGATAATAAATACCTTTGGAAAAAAGCAAGCATAAACGAATAACCATGATTCAAAGTGCATTAACAAGTTGGAAACATTTTGGTCATTGTTTCTGGATGCTTTAAAAGAAAACTCAGTAACACATGCTCTTTTTATCTGTAACTGTAACATTTATGCTGGATTTATAAGCTAGACTATGCTTATAGATACTTAAATTTAATCTAAGCTATAGTAATGGGGTATTTTGTTTGGGTATGCAACCCAAACTTAATCAAGATTAATTAACTTTATAACTAAAGCTGTAACATGCATTTTTTTAAAACTAAAAAAATGGATAAGATGGCCTTGGCCGTATTGCTCAGTGGTTAGAGTGTTGTCTCATCCACCAAAAGGTCGCAGGTTCGATTCCCAGTCAAGGGCACTTACTTGGGTTGCAGGTTTGATCTTCAGCCTCAGTAGGGGTACATGTGGGAGGCAACTAATTGATGAGTCCCTCTCATTGATGTTTTTTACCCCCCCTCCCTCCCTCCCTCCCTCCCATTAACTTTCTCTAAAAATCAATGAAAAAAATCCTCAGATGAGGATTTAACAAAAAAGAAAAAGAAAAAATGGTAAGACCAATAAGCTATGTAAGTGATGTAATGCCTTTTAAGTAAGATTATGATGTCTCTGAGATATTGCATTAAGTACTGTAGAAGGGTAAATGAAAAGCAAAATTTGAAAGATGTTCATTAGATTTAATGAGTAGACAGGGAACACGTAAGAGTAAAATTAGACACAACTAGGAGACAATTTACAACAAGGAAGGGCAGAGGACGCCTGGAGAATGGTAGAACGGGATCTGGCTTGAGAGCGACAGCCGGCCAGCAGGCCAAGAGGGTGAGGAGGAAGCTGCGTTCCACCAAAGCTGTGTTCCTTAGCGACAGGCATAACATCCAACTGTAGAAAGGAAAACCCACAGGGCTGCTGGTAGCCGGGAATCAGGACCTACAACAACAGCCTCAAAAAGCTGCCTCGAAAGGCTGAGGCAGTGAAAGGTAGCCTGAAAGTCGGCCCAAGCAGCGTGGTTGCGGGGGTG